ATAAGTCCGTGTTTGGCCCCACATACTTTGTAATGACGATTGAGATGGGTGGTACCAATTCCTCTTTACTATGCCAATCTTAGTTGGCAGTATTTACATACTGCTTTGGATTCTTGGACTCCATTGATGATTTTTCCCGTTTAAAGTAACTTAAAATGATCCCGATATTTTGCTTGATTTTTTCCCTTTTCGCTTTCCCCTCGCATCGGGAATATTTAATTCAGCATCTTCTTCCTGATCGTGATCCGTTTCGTGAACGTCAATATTATCCAAATTAATTGGATAATTTGGATTGTCGCTTACATGATGAAGATCCAAATCTGGAATATCTTCAGGCAGGGGTACGTCATTTAGAGCTTCAAATTAATTCTGAAATTGACTTTGCGGTGTCATAGGCGATTCGTTTCCTCCCACACCGAACAAGTTTTCGACAAATGTACGTGGATCTATTTATTTAATTGTAATAAGTAATAACTAGTAAAAGAATAATTGTATAAATGTAGTGAGAAATGAAAATTGGATGAAATTTCAATAAAATATAGTGAGAACTGAGAAATGAGAATTGAATATTGTATAAATTGTATATAAAAATTGCACAACTATCAACACAACACAAGAGAGTTGAGAGAAAGCTAATTGAGAGTTGAGAGTGAATTGTAGAAAATTTTGTGGCTAAATGCCACTATTTATAGAGGAAAAAAAGAAAAAAAATAAAATTTAAGGACCAAAACGGTCACTGAAAAAATTCAGTGACCGTTAACGATAAAAAAAAAATTCAGGGACCGAAACGGTCACTTTTGAAAACAAGCCGCTCGCGGCTCGTTTTTTGTGCGAGTCGAGCCCGAACTGGCCCGCTCGGCTCCTGCTCGGGCTCGTGTTTTTACGAGTCCGAGTCATTCGACCCATTTGCCACCCCTAATCAGAAGTGTTCTTACCCATACATGGACTAACATCCTCTCCTAGTGTCATGGGATATGTTTTATGAAATATCTAATTTATTGATTCTCGTAATTACTAATGTATCCTCTTGACTATAAATATATTATTTTGTCAATGCCTTAAATATGAGTACAAGTAGCCGAAAATTTTGATTAAATAAGTTAATTTTTTAAGGACTTTTTAATTTTTACTCACTACTGTGTACAAATTATAGGCAGCTAACCTACATTGAACACAAAAAGATAAATAAATAAAATAAAATTGGACACATTGAGTCGTGTATCATGATATAACCTTATAGCTAATATCTTCAATTGCCGAGCCAAAAAGTAGATGAAGTTATAAAAAAACAATCATGCTATATATAAACTTTATTTGACATCATTTTTTACATTGTGTCACGTGTCATAGTATGAATGAACAGTTTTAAAATGAAACACACTTTTTCTGGGATACAATGAATTGCAAATGTTGGTTTTGTTGTGGAAAATAACGCAAATAATGAGGTGAATAGAAGTCAAACTCAAGAAGTTTATATATTCTACATTTCAAAATTTAGAGAGTAAAAATAAAGCCTTCTTAAATAAATATGATGTGAAATCGTGTGAGTTGACCTTTTAGTGTCTGTTGCACAACCATATATCAATCAATCGTGTGAGTCTTATTTTGATTGAATCTTTGTACAAAAGATCTCTTATTTAATATAGACAAGACATCGTGATAGTATTTCAACAGCGTCGTTCCACCTCTTACCACTTCGACATATATCATTCCTAGGCGTATCACATTGGTGCCTCGATCAAATCACGAATATACATGTTGACCACTTCACCCGTGGGGTGACATGAATTGCAGATTTTGTTGATGTGCTTAGCTAATTGTCATGCTGATGGCGATCTGGAGCCTCTTCATAAGAGGCTTAGCAATATTAATTCTCAATATCTAGTCTATCGTTTGATCATTTAACATGTGCACCTCACATCTCAACTTTTAATGCATTATACGGTCTTAAGAAAATATTCTCGAATAATAAATAATATGATCAAGGAATGCGAATGAAAGGACTCAAGGAATGAAGGGATAATAAAATTTGAAATGAAGGCTTCAAGGTTGGCAGAGTGTTGCCGTGGTGGTTTTCCCATTATATATATATATATATATATATATATTTTTTCATTAGCTTCTACTAGTTTATTTATTTTTATTAACTTTACTTTAATTAAAAGTAGGGTAATTATATTCCCACAACACTTTTTTATATCTACACCACGTTTTAATTATGAGAAATGTTTCTGCTATTCGCCCACTTTTACCTTTATGTCCTCAATTTTTTTTCTCGTGATATTGTCATTCTTGACCTTCAATTAATTAAATCTCTAATCATAATTTTCAACCAGATGTTCTACTTATGTGGATTGAAAAGACTAACAAATATTTTGTTAAACTTTTATATTAGTTATTTATCTTGATTATTAAAAATACAAGAGATATATATGCCTTTTTGACCCTCATAACAAATATTTTGGACGAAAATGATCTCTATAAAATAGATGTGAAAATTATTAGAAGGTTGACGGCGTCACTAATGCGTGATACTTGGCAGAAACGTCAAGTCAAGTGATTTGACGCCTTATTTATTGGTCAACAGCAATCGTTGACCGCTAATGTACGCCTAAGTGTGGTTATGCACACCCAGGCGCGTATAATTATTATTTTTTAAATAAATTTGAATTTTTTATTTTTACAATTTTTCTAAGTTAAAACTTAAATATTAATTTTTCCATTTCGTCATTTCTAAATTCAAAATAGTCGCTTTTGAAGCCTTGAAGAAAGGAAATCTCCAAAAAAATTCTTATTTATTTACCATTTAATATTTGCATTTAGAACTTACTTTTTTGTTGAAAACTTTAGAAAATATATAAATTTTCTATAAATTTGTTTTAGATGTTTGGTAGGCATTATTTTTAATTATTAAACGATTTTCGATTGATTAAAAATTAAAATAATATTAAAATAAAAAAGTCTTTTTACGTTTTTTTATACCTATGCCTTGCTTAAACTCGCCTAACCCATAGTTTGATCTCCACACATTGTTACGTATTGCACCTTTTAGAATACTGGTGTATATACTTACCCTTAAAAGTAAAGTATAATTAATTAGCAATATCTTGAGTTTTATACCCTTTACAAATTAAGCACGTGTAACTAACTATTAAAATTACGTAAATAAGTATTGTAGACTATGCTTCTGTTTGATGGATTTTAAAATCAGACTTTTTAAAAAAATTGATAACATTTGAAGAAATATATGACTGAAAAGTTATATATTCCATAAAATATGTAAAAAAAATTAATTGTTATTTTTAATTTCAATTAAAATATAGATTTCAATCACTATCAAACAAGGACTATATTACTGCAAAACTAATCAAAAAATAGAAATTTTCAAATGACTATGTAAAAAATGTGTCTATCTTGAGTTGAGATCTGATGTTCAATTTTATTTATTTTTTTGTTCAACAATTAATTATTGACATATTATTTTACGTTAAAATATTACATATTTTTAAGTATAAGGAGTAGTTATGGAAAAATTTAACATGGTAATTTAAAATAATATGTCAACAATTAATTGTGAACAATAAATTGAATAACAAAACATTAGACAATAAATCTTAACTCATCCACCCAACCTTCTAAATAGTATAAGAATATTCCACAAAAATATTCTGTCCATTCAAAGTAATTAAAGCAATCTAATGAAACAGAAGTCAAACATTCCCAGCTACTTCTAGAGGGAAAATTAGAAAGCATAGTTAGCAATATAATACTCTTCTTTTTCATACAGTGTAATGATAAATAGACAAGCAGAAATACAGGGAATAAAAAATAGGTTGATGTTTCAATAAGTTGTTGGCTATTTTTTTTTATTTATTTTTTCTAATTTTTAAATCTTTTCAATCATGCATCAACACGTGTGCAGTATATTTTTAACCCTGTATTTCACTCTGTTTATGTAACAAAACTCTTTCATATATGCTTAAAATTCTAAGGGCTTGTTTGGGAGCGATTTTTTCTGCCAAAAAATTGATTTTTTGATCGTTATTTCACTATTTCAGCCGTCATATTTGACTTTTTCTCTCACAAGTGGACCCCACTTTTCCCTTAACGGTCAAAAAATCAATTTTCAAAATCACTCCCCAACATGCTCTAAATGAAAATCATTCTTCATTTAAATTCAAAATATATAATATAGAGGGTTATACTATTTGTCCAAAAAAGAACATCCAAAACTGTGCCAAAAAATATTATGTGTAGTGAAATGATTAAATAAAAAATTTGATTGTGTTTGATAGGCATTTTTATGTAAAAAAGCATTTTAGAATAGTAAATTGATGTGAAATGTGTGGTTGAGAAATAAGGAGATACTTTTTTTTATTTACGTGTAATATTATTTTAATAAATAATGTGTGATTGAAAAGAAGGGAGAGAAAAATACATTTTGAAAAAAATGCTACCAAATGGGGCCCTAATCTGTAAAAATATTAGAATCTTACATTTTTCTAAAATAAGAATTTACTAAGGGAGTGTTTGAGAGACATTTTTATATAAAAATGTATTTTAGAATAGTAAATTGATGAGAAATGTATGATTGAAAAATAAGAAATTTTTTTTAATTTACGTGTAATATTATTTTAATAAAAAATGTGTGGTTAAAAAGAAAAGAGAGAAAAATAAATTTTTGAAAAAAAAATTGGTACCAAATGGGGCTTAAATAAGTTAATTTATTCATAAATAAATAAAAAATTCTAAATCAAATATCTCATTAAAATTGAAAACAAGTATCCATCTGGTCCGACATAATTAGCTCGAGTGAAAATTAATTAATTAATTAATTAATACCCAAATCTCAGCTCGAGTTCAGTCCAGTCCAGGTGTCATAGAGAATAAAAAATTAATCGAGTCTCTGTCCTCAACAGAATAAACCAAGAGATATCCTCTATACCAAAGAATATTCCCAACTCTACCCCTCGCATATTCTCTCTCCTCCGTTACCGTTATATCAAGCCCGGCCCCTCTATTTTTACTCATTTCCTCTTCACAACGATAAGTTCAGTCCATTCGTTTTCCGTTTTCCAATCAAACCCATAATTTTGAAACCACTGATTTTGTGTTTTCAACCAAACCCGTAATTTCAATTTCGGCTTTTGGGCTTTTAATCGGTATGAAGTTTGGCAAGAGTTTGAGCAATCAAATTGATGAGACGTTGCCCGAGTGGAGGGATAAGTTCTTGTCGTACAAGGGGCTGAAAAAGAAGCTCAAGCTGATCGAGCCGAAGAGGCCGTCGTCTTCGGCTGGGGAAGAGGTGAGGGCCAAGAAGAAGCAGAAACTGGACAGTGAATTAGCCGACGGAAGGGAGGCTATGACTGAGGCGGAGGCAAATTTTGTCAAGTTATTGGAGGATGAACTTGAGAAATTCAACGCTTTCTTTGTTGAGAAAGAAGAAGAGTGTATCATCAGATTAAAGGTAATTTTGCCATTAGGCTATAAGCATATTCTATTTTACCTTTAATTATTTCCTGATACTTTTTTTGATCGAATAGTTTGTACATTTGAGGCGATTTTGTTTGTCGAAGAAATTTTTACTTGTTTCTGTTAGGAAAAATACAAAAAGAAATATGCTGGAATTATAAAATAATGGAAAGAAATGCTATAATAGACAGAGTAACAGTAAAAGAGACGAATTCTGGTTGTCTATGCAGTAGCTGTATTGAATCAAAATTGTTGTTACGTCTCATGCACCATTTAATTTATCTTTTCCAACAGTTTATTAGTAATCTTTCGGAGTTGGAGCCCTCTGTCCCCTTTGAAGAATATTTGCAACTTGGCAATTTACTATTTCAAGATTTTGACCACAATTTAATTTGGAATTCTTTCTTGAATCGTGAATCCGGTTTTTGTGATCTGAAAGAAGGCCAATTCATTAACTTGTGGCTTATATGAGCAGTTTAACTCGTGGTTTAATATGAAATCAGAACTTACAAATATATTTACCGTAAATCTTGCAAAGATATTTAGTATAAATGACTGAGGTTGCTGTGCAGGAATTAGGGATTTTCTTGGTTGCTTGTTGAGGTAAAAGATTTGAATAAATGAATATATTGCGGCGCTTAAATCTTTAGATGAAGTGGTTCACGAGGACTCTCATGCGTACAAGTATTGAAGCAATATCCCTAAGCTACTAAAATTATGGCCAAAAAATACTATTGTTATCAGTTATTGAGATGTAGGAGTAGGATACAGAAGAGTGACCATCCTTTCCTTTCACCTGAGTATTATGATTTTTAAACTGCTTGTTTCAGTAATTTTATGGTACTACCTTCGTCTCATGAAGATAGGCTTGTTTCTATTTTCACACTGATTTAAAAAATGAAATTAATATAGTTGAAAATATAATTTTTTTTTTACATTTTTCCTAATATACTATACCCTTTAAATATGATTAGCTTATATTTATTGATAATAAGGTAGATTAAATAAGGGCATATTAGTAAACCAAAAATTATCTATACCTTTAATAAGGAAAATGACCTATAATTCGGGATTGACGAAAAAGGAAGCCAAGTCTATCTTTATGCGACAGACGTAGTATTTAGTTTGTTGCTGGATTACATCTCGGCTACAATGATGTGAGCATGATGGCAGTGTATAGCCACTCCATGAGTAATTCTAATAGTTCATATCAATTAATCCCCTATATGTTTAGTAGGATATAATTGTCATTGTGATTTTAGAGTTTGAGATGTTTTTCTGCACTTCGTTGGACTACTTTAAGAAATAGTATCTTCGTCTCCTGTCTAATATTGTATGCCGAAAATGCTCTTATTATTTTGTAGCGAGATTCTTTACTTTAAAATTACTTTAAAATTAGAGTGAATATTTGGTTTTGGTAGTGAACTTACATATTACATTATTTGGTGTAAAGGAATTGCAAGATCGGGTGGCTAAGGCCGATAAGAATGATGAGATGATTAAAATACGGAAAGAAATTGTCGACTTACATGGGGAGATGGTTTTGCTGGAGAATTACAGTGCTCTTAATTATACAGGTAATAAACCTTTGCATTTTTGGTCTTTTAGCTCTGGAATCTAATTGCTTTTGTTGCTTTTGCATTAATGATGGCTCTAGTACTACGAATTCCTCGATTTTCAAATTTGGACCATAAAATAATTTGGGCTATAATATGAACAAATTAGAACTTCCATGACATGCTTCTTTCTGTCTATTGCTCTAAAACTCATAGAATTATCCCTTGTGACATCAATAGCTAATTTGCATATATAAAAGTCATAATAACAACTGTACTTCATAGCAACCATAGTTCCAATATTTTTCATTTTGATGTGCTGTAGAGAAGTGGGTCGATAGATAAGGCTGGTACCATCCTTTTGCTGGAAAATATGTTCATTAAAAATTGGCAATATGCTCGAAATGTAGTATAAATAATCCCGTTCAAATGGTTATCTTTAAACTGTAACGTCTAAGATGAAACATTATTGACATTTAATTTTTATCACCTTGTGCTAAACAGGACTGGCTAAAATATTGAAGAAGTATGACAAAAGAACTGGTGCTCTTCTTCGCCTGCCCTTTATACAGAAGGTTGTTCAACAGCCATTTTTTACCACCGACTTGCTGTACAAGCTTGTGAAGGAGTGTGAGAGGATGCTTGACTGCCTGTTCCCAGTGAACAAACCCCCACCTGAAAATGATGCAGCTGATGGAGAAGAACCCTCGACCAGTTCCACAGCCAACAATGAAGTTCTGCTCAAAGGTCCAAATGAACTTGCTGAGATCAAGTTCATGGAGGGCCTGTATATGAAAAGTACCATATCTGCATTACGAGTTTTGAAAGAGATTCGTAGTGGAAGCTCAACTGTTAGTGTGTTTTCATTGCCACCATTGCAGCTTGTTGGATTAGAGGATGCTTGGAATAAAGTCCCTGCCGTAGAACAAGTTGCTAAATAGTCGAATTATATGGAGGAGGATAATAGGCCTTTTATTGTCACCGTGTAATTGAATTTTGATCACTTTCGGTTTCTCTTTTCGTGCATTTGCTATGCATGTATTCTATCCTAACACATGTAAAATGCATATATGATGATAAGTTCTTATAATTGTGTGTAAAATTCTGGATCAAATGTCAACTTTCCGGGTGATGATGTATAAATATCAACTTTCTAATTCAAGACGGAGGTAGCGCCCACATATCAACTATAAGGTGTAGTAATCCTTGCAACTGATGAGATATATATGTCGACAAACATCAGAGTGGGATCTCCATCCGTTACTAGTCGATTCTTTTACCTAAGGACCACATCTTCCATCAAAATCTGTTGCTGTTGCACCACTATATAAGGTTTGACAAAAGTAGAAAAAAGTAGATTCGGAGCTTTGCATTTGTCACAACAATCTCAAGGAGAGGACAGTTTTGTAGAGATTTTTTCAGAATAGATTTTCCGAAAAAAGATATATTTATTATTTTTTTTCCCTTTGAAATATGTGATTAAAGAGTGGGAAAAGTTATGATTTTATGTGTAAAATTATTTTATTGAAAAAAAAAGTGTGATTGAAAATGAGTGCCGAAGAAAATAAATTTTAGAAAATAGTGCCAAATAGAGGCATAATTTCATCTGTTTTGTATGTCCAGCACATGCACATAAATATAGGCTACCATTTGAAAGGAGGACTTTACCATTTGTATACTCTTGTTGACACTTGCATTGTTATCAAAGAAATGATTGGATGAAAATTTGTTTTTCTTAAACTGTCAAATGGCAGTTTGCCATGGTTTACTCCCAATCGACGTTATGATTTAGCGACAGATTGGGCCCCATTTAGCATCCCAATGTCGATGCTATTCGGCGATCGAGACATCCCACACTTGTTCACCGGGAGCAAAGTTTCAGATTAGGTGTGGCGTCATTTCTTTAACATATTTCAAGTCTCTCTTCAAGAGGATGAAGGATTTCAATACCGCTTTCAGAGCAGCAGATGTAAGTACAATTTGTGAAGAGTAAGCATATTCGCATGATCATTCCTTTGTTGATCCTCTGGTTCTTATAGACTGCGAAGAATGATGCAAAGTCCCATGGAATTACTATGTAGTCTTGGAGGATCTTTGACATGTCTATCGGACTATCTCATCTTCAAATGCACCATTTATTTCAATTTCTTCATTAGCGAGGGGACTTAAATGTCATCCCTTTTTTCGATATTTCTCTCACTCATCAGTCATCACCCACATTCCTCCCTTCCTATTTTTATTTTTTGGCATACTTCGCCGATGAGATCTTACAGGATCAATACAAATTGGGCACGTCGGGGAAGAATTTGCTAGCTATGGAGTATCATCCAGGATCAATTATGGCGTTGTATTGGTGTCTTCTCCTTATGGTGATTGTTTTGTACTTGAAGCGAAGCTGCAAGCCATTGTTTGTATCCTTCTTGCTTGCCGACTTGAACTTTCGAATGTGTGGATAGAGGTGGACCGCTCTCTAGCCATTCATTGCCTCACCTGTGGTGGAGGTCTTTGGTCGATCAACAGTACTCTCAAACATATTAGTCATTTACTTTCTTCCTCCGACCATGACACTATTTTCCATCTCTTTCATGAAAGAACAAGGTTACTAACTCACTGGGGGCAAAAAAAATATAATAGACGCTACTATTAAGTGTATGATCATCTCAACTTATCGTGATGACTTCACACCCTAGTTGATATGGCCTTTCAACGATGAGAGGCATTTATGGTTTATTGTTTCATCTATCATATTTGGACAAAAGGTAGAACTCCTCATTTACTGCTTTCATTTCTTATGCTCTTGGTTAGAGGTCGTGTATATACCCACCATCCCTCTCTCCTCTTTTCTCACCCTCATGTCACTAAAGGGGAAACACGGGGATGTAAAAAAGGGATCTTGTCAACTTCTTCTGACCTAGGATAATAGAATGGAATGGGATATGAATGAAGTAGAGCCACTTTGAGGTATGTTCAATCTACGTTGTGGTAAGGAAAAAAAAAAAAAAAAGAAAAAAAAAAGATGATATGGTGCATCAAATTTACTTAAATTTGACTATACAACTAACATTGATACAAGTTAAGCATTGACATCTTCTCAGCAATTAAGCAGAATCTCATTATTACTAACATAATCTTTTAAAATGTGGCTAGGGTACCACATCCTTCGTCGAACTACAACTCCTAGACAAACATCGCACCGCCAAGACCACTTCCGACTATCAAGGGGAACGAGATTAGCGTTCAAGGGAGACCATGTCCTCGAATTAGGCATTTTCCCCATCTCCATAAATAGTTTGTCATCTTCAGATACTCAAGACATGAATGGAATAGTCTAGCCTAAATTTGTTGTACATAATAACTATTTCGACCACCGAACCGGACAAATAGAATTTATGATCTGTATATTGAAATAAAATGGGAAAACGGTGTAATAAGAATATAATGATCTCTTTCAAAATATTAACAAAAAATATTGAATATATTATCAAATTAAATGTGGAAGCTATCAAACAAAGTGTTTGCTGATAAATCCCATAACTAATTCAAATCATCCTATTATTTATAAATGAAAATATATAATAGAGACCCACGGGCACTGAGAGTCACATTATCATTCACATAATCATTAAGAAATGAATGTTCTGACAACTTATCGATAGCTTATATTGAGAGCTTTATCTTTCAACTTTGACATGAAAAATGTGCTGACAACAATCATATATCTATATACAAATGGCACACATTTAGTCTTATAAGATCAAAATTGTGAAAGTTTAGATCAAATTCCATTTTTGACCAATCATTAAATTTGTTAGTATAATATGATATTCAACAAAATCACCTTGTAAAATCCATTTATTAGACTTGTAAATAGCATGACTTAAACGTATGCCATAAAGATGAGAGTTCTCAAGCAATATTTACATGTATTAACGTCTTCTTTCTTATCAATGATGATAAATCAACATCAAGAATTTTCATAGCTTATTGTAAATCAAAATATCAAAGGAAATTTATTAGTCACATATGAGACCTAAAATAATATCCATATTAAATCAGGAATAAGCATGATTGTCATTTTAGATTATAATTTATCTATTTCTTATAAGTGGTTTTCAACATATAATTAGAGTTGAGAGAAATTTGAATATTGAAGTTTGCATGGTTGGAATGCTACAATATTGGCTAAATGCAATGAAATAAACCTATAAATAGAGCATATTTTTTGTATATTACAATAAATAATAAAATGATTATTACTATATTGAGCTTGCTTTATTTTTATAGATTGTAGAAGTGTTATTCTACGAAAGTACAAAAATTCATATATATTGGCAGTAAATAAACAAGGAGGATTCAGTGGCAGACCACAATTTTTGTGTTCTGAAGGGTAAAAAATACCCAAAGCAACCTATTAATCTCAAAAGTATTAACTTATTGTTACTTGGTAGAGTTTTAGCTGGGAATTCTTCATTAGAGGGCTGTACACAGACAGTTTAGGTTGCGTTTCATACATGATTGCTGACTGCTACAAAAATAATGTAGATGAAGACATTAGTCTGGTCATCGTTTTAATAGTCTTTGTGAGTCTTTTTTTGGCTTTGAGTCTATTTCAATAATTTTATCTAATGTTTGGAAGAGAGACCTTTTTTTGCATTTGCTGTAGTCATTTCTTTGATTCCATAAAGACTTCAGTGGTGGGGTTGTGCATCTTCTTTTTGCTTTTTGTGCCTTTCTTGTCTGAACTTTCCTTCATTTCAATTGGAATACTCACATCGGATATGGTATTTGAAGGATTTGTTTTAGTAATTGTAGTTAAATACTCGCTATCAGTGATTGCTGCTAAAGAGTTGAATGCAAAGATGATTTCAAAGTGGTATTCAGAAGGGTTTTGACGTTGTCGTGTCACCTTCGGATAAAATAGGAATTCTATTTCACTTTCAGTTTTTCATAACATTGTTGATTTTTGTATTTGTTTCTTGTGATAGATTAAATATGTTTGAATAGTGAATGATGATGTGTTGAAGGAATTATTGTTGAAGGATGTTAGAACTTGGATTTTACCTTTTCAAAATGGTTCATTATATCATTGGCATTAGTTCCAATACTGCTTCTGCTATGTTTTCTATAATGCTTGCGTTGAACCATCCAGATTTGTCTTCGAGGCGCACAAATGCATTTGCTCTATGGATATTTTTTTTCCAAGCACATATTATGTAATTTTTTAATGAAAAAGAATTTGTTTGACTTCTTTTTATGAATATTTCATGAATTTAAAAAAAAAAATTAAAATTCACGAGTCGGCTTGGCTTGGCTTGGCTTGGCTTGGTGAAGCTCAAGTCAATCCTCCAAATTTTGGCCGGGATAAGGCTTGACTGGGCTCCAGCTTTTTTGATCGGGCAGCGCACGAGCTACGAGTTTCAGCTTGGGAACCAGCTCGACCCGAATCATTGACATCTCTATGCCTGAATAAGTGTAGAAATAAGAATTAATATGTGCTTGTGTTTTTTGTTTTTAATAGTGTTGTAAATGAATGGATGTGTACGAATTGAATATAACATTGAATGAAGAAACCTTAAATTAGTAGCCCATATGACAGGTCTGTTTCCAAGGTATTCAAGAATTGTAATGCATTCTCATTTGACAAAAGCTGTCCAATATGTTAGCATCATTGTCCGAAATTGTTTGTCCATCAATATAACATCTTGAAGAGAGGCCTGTGTTCCAAAATGGGTTTAAATAATTCATTTTTGTCTAATGTCTACAGCTGCACCTATAACACTTGCAAGAAAGCTTAAGTTTTCTTTATGTATTTTGTATGCAGTAAATTTCAAAATCATAAAATAATTGTGAAAGATTGTATGGAATTACTGGTTGTAAAGTTGGTGTATTAGAAATCTTACTAATGTTGATGCTCTTATCCATGTGTTGCTCTAGTTCATCAATGGAGTAAGTTGATATTGTGAGAAGATGAAGTTCAAGTTGTTCTCATATAGTTCTTAAATCTTTGTTCTTTTGTGGTCCAAATTTTTTCATTAGTTGAGCTCTTAAACTGACTTTTGTTATCTTTAATTGTTGCATTCGAGACAATATATATTTTTTACAGTTCTAGCTGATCATTATGTGCTATAATGTTTGAATCGTACAGTGTTGCTGTAACTTGATTC